CCACTGTGATCACAATTGATATAGCCTGGCAGGTAGGGCTGTTTGAATCAGGAAATTTTAAAATTCACTCTGTTTCCAGATGTAATTAATGGAGTTGATTCAATTTTACACAATAATTTACGTAATTATTGATTACAGTACAATTTTAAGTACTATCACAATGAATTGCATGAATAACAAGGAATCTTGACATTAACTTCATATGCTCCTACTTTAGTTTTTCTTCAGGGACACAAGACCTCAGCAGGCCTTTTGGAGAGCTAAAGCTAGCCAAATGAACTGACTATCAGGGGCTAGCTAAACTTACCTGATTCTCCTGCCAGCTTTTTCGGGTGGATAGCTGTCTTGATACTGGGAACGTTTATTGTAAGAATTTTTTGTTACAAATTGTACATTGTACATTGTTTTCCAGCTTGTTCAAAGCAGAACACAGCCAGCCTATCGCATTTGTTGTGGACAAGTGCAGTGGAAACTGCATAGACACAGACAGCAGAATATCTCACTCTCCGTGTGCATGTGGATGCGAGCTTGAATGTCATTAGGTAGAATTGAGTCCCAAGCTTTGCAGATGACTCTTGATTCACAATTGCTAGGATTCCATGGATCAACTCTTTCTCTACCTGCTCTCTAACCCTCACACATCGCTCATCTTCCACTCTCCTCTGTGTAATAAAAATATAGTCTCATGATGGTTTGACACAGAAGAGCTTTTTAATTTCCTCATACTTTATTGCTCAATACCACAAATGGCATTATGACATTGCCAGCTTATTACTGTTATTGTGAAAGAATGAGCATTGGTTTCATTAAGCTGGAGAAAGGCTTTGTGCTCTTTTCTTTGACTGTGGAGACTTCATTATTGATTCTAACAGTGTTGTCCATGTGAAGCTTCAAAATGAGTCCTTCAGTTTCTGGTCCCCAATCTGAAGCTATATAGCTAAAGGGAGATAAGCAGAGAGCAGGGATTTGTAGGGAAGAAGAAAATGAGTTAGGAATGGAATATTCCCCTGGGTTTGTGACAGAAGGAAGGAGTAAAATCACACTTAGAGCACGCATACAGACAGGCTATTATTCAGCATAATAACAATAGTAATAGTAATAGTAACAGTAATTGTATTGTAAACGTGTAAATAGTAAATACATTTAATTGATGAGCTAAATGCAATCATTTGGTTGAATAAAGTGTTTGAATAATATTGTCATGGTAAATATTCAACAGGACAATTATTAGGATCTTGGTTCTATGATGGTATTATGTTACTAGGACCAGATTACACTAACAGGAGCTTTTATTACATCCTATTCTAAGCATTAATCTAGGCATTAATATGGAGTTGGTCCCCCCTTTTGCAGCTCTAATAGCCTCCACTCTTCTGGGAAGGCTTTCCACAATATTTGTGGAGTGTGTCTGTGGGAATATTTGCCCATTCATCCAGAAGAGCATTTGTGAGGTCAGACACAATGCCTGGCTCGCAATCTCCGTTCTAGTTGATCCCAATGGTGTTCAATGGGGTTGAGGTCAGGGCTCTGCACGTACCAGTCAAGTTCTTCCACACCAAACTCACCCATCTATGCCTGTATGGATCTTGCTTTGTGCACTGGGGCACAGTCATGCTGGAACAGAAAAGGGTCTTCCCCAAACTGTTCTCACAATGTTGGATACAACTAAGGGGCCTTGGCCAACCCCTGAAAACAACCCCATAGCATTATCCTTCCTCCATGAAACTTTACAGTTGTCAGAGTGCAGTCAGCCAGGTAATGTCCACCAAACCTGGCATTCACCAAACACAAACTCATCCATCCGACTGCCAAACAGAGAAGTGTGATTCGTCACTCCACAGAATACGTTTCACCACTACAGAGTCCAGTGGCATCGTGCTTTGCACCACTCCATCCGACGCTTGACATTGTGCTTGATGATATAAGGCTTTCATGCAACTGCTCAGACATCGAATCCCATGCCATGACGCTCCAGCGCAGTTTTTGTGCTGATGTTAATGCCAGGGGAGGTTTGGAAATCTGCAGTTACTGAGTCAGCAGAGCGTTAGTGACTTTGATGCACTATGTGCCTCAGCACTCAGCGACCCTGCTCTGTAACTTCACATGGTCTGCCACTTCGTAGCTGAGTTGCTGTGGTTCCTAAATGCGTCCACCTTTCAACAATAAACTTCACAGTTGATTGTGGAATATCTAGGAGGAAAGGAATTTCATGAACTGACTTGTTGAAATGATGGCATCCTATTACAGTGCCACATTCAAAATCAATGAGCTCTTTAGAACAACCAATTCCTTCACAAACTTACAGGTTTTCAGGAGGGCCTAATGATTACAAATACATATAGCTCATTTTAGTTCAAAGGAATGATCATGCTTGTTGTATTTAAACTCTACAAGTATTATCAGGGCCATATTGAAATCTATTGGTGGTTCTATGCATTAGAACCACCACCATTATTGGTGGTTCTATGCATAACAAAAATCTAACCTTTATTTAAAATACAATGACTTGAGAAAACTGCACTAAACACCTTGCTTAACTTTGCAAAGATAACAGATCTGAGTCTTCTTCTGTAAAGCTTAATGACACTGGAGATCACATGGCAAGTGATCTGAGACCATTCCTCCATACAGAAGCTCTCCAGGACCACGCTTGTGGACTCAGGCATACTCTGGATCATTGTCTTGCTGTAAGATCCAAACTATAGCCCAGTTTAATCTTCCTGGCTGAGAGTCAGATTTTAAATTTTTAGTTTTTTTCAGGTTTTAAAGGTGGTGTCTGTGGTTTGTGTGATGTTGTTACCTCAAGACCATAACTGCAATTCCCCAGCTATGATCCTTGAAATTTCTTTGTCCATTCAAACCATTCTGCTCACTGTGCATGGGCTCAGTGTAAACATACATCCTCTTCTTAACATCTCCACTTGTTTTAAACTTGCAGTATTCTCTGGTCTTTCTCATAATGATGGATGACTGATGAAATTTAGTCTTTAGTCTTTGTGTTTCATCTTATATATATATATATTCCCTAGTGAATCAGGAAGTCATGGCTGAACATTTAAGTGTTCTTTATCATTCAGGTGAATTTAAGAACTACATATAAATGAGAATATACTTCAGTGAGATTTCACCCTTAAGAATGCCAACAATTGCGGCACACATAGATATTAAACACACATAGATATTAAGAAAAATGTTAATTTCATTACAAGATTTAGTTTTTTCTTATCATTATAGCTTAAATAAAGGTTAGGTTTTTGCTAACGTTTTGAATGAAAGATTAAGAGGATAATTAAAAATATACTGTATGTAAGTTAGTTGGTTAAAAGTTTTGAATAAAATATATAGAATATCTTTACAAGCTCCAAATTTCCATGTAGCACATGTGTATGTCTGTGTGTATGTCTGCTCTGTAATGGACTGGCAACCTGTCCAGGGTGTTTCCTGCCTTCTGCCCAATGAGCGCTGGGATAGGCTCCAGCACCCCCCGCGACCCAGGAGGATGTGTGTGTGTATATGTGTATGTGTGTATGTATGTGTGTGTGTGTGTGTGTGTGTGTGTGTGTGTGTGTGTGTGTGTGTTATACTAGCATTAGCTTAGCACTAAGATGCTATTAAAATCCCATAGGGACAGTAGTAGAAATGAGCATTATAATAGATGTGTTTTCTTTATTCTTTTTTTAAAACAAAGTTTTAAAAGCCAATGTCCAGGATTTGTTATTACATTCCCATGATGTTGATTCAAACAGGACTATTATACTATTATGAAAGGAGCTCTGAGTTTGGAAAATTATAGAACGTAATTCCCTCTGGAATTATTACTCAGTAAAACTATGGACATTACAGATTCATACTAGATTAAAATCATCATGCAGAGACTGTCTGTAATCACTCAAGTTACAGCAGTTCCCCACGTAAAACTAAACAAGCTCAAACAAGGTTATGCTGACCACAAGCTCAACATCATATAGTTCCCAAACAGCAGTGAAATTAACACTGCACTTGGCACAGAACAGAAGTTCAGCTCGTCTCACCAGCTGAAAATGATGGAGTATTTTTGAAAAAGAAAATCAAAATAATCACTTTTTCTTATTTTTGGAGTAAAAAGTCATACTGTCATGCTGTAGAGAGGGGGGAAAATCTTCTTACATGACAGTTTCTTTTCATGGGAGGCTGAAAAAAGTGTGAAAATTATAAATTTAAAAGTTCCCTGAGTTATTTCCGCTGCAAGTCTAATCGTTCCGAATAAACAGTGAAAGATCAAATGCAAGTTTGCTCCCCCCTCTAATAAAAGTGGGGGGTGTACAGGCTCCAATTGCTCCACTGTTCACGCATCTATGATTTCAGACACTTTTTTTGTATTTCCATTAAATATTAAAAATAAAGAATTCACGCTTTAGGTGAGGTAGACGCTAACTGCAGATGAATACATTAGCCTAGGGAAAAGCAGCTGTCGCTTTAATTTAAAAAGGACTTTGCATATTCCAGTAGGTGCTGTGCAAGGCCGGGTGACCAATCGTATCTCTTGCGCATGCCTATTGGCTGAGGCGTGGGGGTTGCTTGGCTCCCAACTGGGCTGCTCTCTCAGCTTCACTCATCCAATTCAACTCCCGTAGTCAGCAAAACACCCGGCAGAGCGCAGGTCCACAACTAAAGCATCCTGCAGAGACTTTATAGGCTGTGCATGTATGTGTGTGTGAGCAAAAGAGAGAGAGAGCAAGAGAGAGAGAAAGAGAGAGACGGCTTGCTTATGGACCACTGCTGCAGCACTAAATCAGGTGCTGTCACACAAGCTCAGCAGAGACAGAATCAGACTAAAGAAGAGAAAAATATGTGAGAGACTCCAGTTATGGATTCCAAAAGATGCTGCCCTTCAGTAGATCACTCTTAAAAGCACAGGAGGAGATATACTTAAATCGTCTATTGGGGACACAGACAGCAAGATATTGGGAAGAAAAAGAAGATTAACTTGTAAAAGGTGAAGATATTTTTAATTTTCTGTGCTTTTTTTCGGGGGGGGGGGTTAGAAACACTTTTGTGTGTCCTTCAAGTCCTTCTTCTGTTCAGTGTCCTTTCTGCATGTCCTGCTCAGCAGATGAACACACTCATGGTGGATGCCAAGGGAAGGAACATGAAATGTCTGACGTTCTTCTTGATGCTTCCAGAGTCAGTGAAGAGCAAGTCCAGTAAAGGCTCCAAGAAGGGAAGCTCCAGCGGCATCTCCAAGCTGCCCCCTGTTTGTTATGAAATCATCACCCTGAAGACCAAAAAGAAGAAGAAAATGGCCGGAGAGATCTTCTCCACCAAAAAGTCGTCTTCGGCTAGCACCGTACAGACATACCAGCAGCAGAACCTGAACAATAACAACACCATCCAATGCTGCAACTGGCAGGGTCTCTACTCCACTATCAGAGAAAGGTGGGTTTTTCTTGGTTTAAAAAATCCTCAAGCAGCTGTGTACTATATATAGACCTTTCAGGCCTTTTTTTCTTTTTCTGTAATTGGGTTAATGTAAAGTTTGGGCTTATGTAAATCCATATAGTCTTGTTTCTCTGTGAGAATAAGTAGCACAGGTTCAGTCTGTTTTCAAAAACACTTCTCTGAACTTCTCATCATTACTTGTTCAGAGTAATAAAACAAAATTGTTTACTGTATTGGTGTCAAATAATATGATTAAACACAACCTGACAGATCCTCATACTATTTCAAAGATGGATCCATCTTATTAATGCCAATTGTGTACGAAACTGAAAACATCACCTGTAGCAAAAACAAAACCTGACAAAAACCTGTGGCGACAGTAAATTCTACAGCATGCCAGTTATTCAATAATCATCACTTTCTGTTCAAAGAGTTTGTAGCTTGTTTTCCAGCTTGCATAACAATTTATGAGTGCTTGAGTTTAGAGTTAGCAGTGGGCATTTTTTGTTCATGTGATTAGGAAAGGTGATAATTCTTTATGCCTGTGTAAAAATAGAAACCAAATTTGACTCTTTGATTTTTGGAGAGCTGACAGTGTGTTGAATGTTTGAGCTGTGTGGGGAAAGGAACAAGTATTGTTTAATGTCCTCAGAGTCAAAGGGTAATATTACCCCTTCCATCTCAGGACAACCCCATGCTGGTGAAATCAAATGAGTACTTTTAGGCCTGCTTTTGTTGTCTTTATAGAACAGCATGCCTTGTTTACCCAGTACTCTTTTATGGCCCAGCTCTCAATAATATATGAGGAAGGTTCTATTGTGCACTGAAGAGGCTGAAGTTCATAGGGATTTTCCATGAGGTGGTTTTGGTAAACAGTGTTTAAACCTTAGCTTTTTCTTTGGATGTGTTAATATATGCAATGGCAGAAATGATTTTTTTTTTTATTTAAAAATTACACTCTTAGAGAACCATAGCTAACAGTTGGCCATAGAATTTGACATTGAGAGCCCACAGAATTTCCACAACCTCTACAGTGTTCCCTGATGTGTTTCAGTGAAATAAATAGCAATTCGCTGCTCCTCTTCATAAGACTTTCTGTTTTTGTTTTACATTTGTTTCATCAAACATCTCGTCACCTTTGCAGAAATGCTGTGATGTTCAACAATGAGCTAATGGCAGATGTACATTTTGTAGTGGGCCAGCCTGAAGAAATGCAGAGGCTTCCAGGGCACAAGGTAAGCTTCCTCCTCATCTCAAAGTGGTCACATTATCATTGACAAACTGAACACAACACAATGTAATTTTCATTAGTAGCAGCAGCGAAGCAGAATGTATCTTTGAGAGAAGTAGTTCAATTATTTATGTAAAGGATGAACAAAGGGGCAATGAAAGATTTACAGTTTGCTTTGCATCTATTATCTATTTATCTGTCTATTATATATTTATCTATCTAGTTATATATTTTGAATTACTGATTTATACTAATCTATAAACACTCGTGTGTGTGTGTGTCCGTAAGAGAGAGAGTCCTTGTATCTACACTCAATGTCCATTTTATCAGCTCCACTTACCATATAAGTGCACTTTGTAATTCTACAATTACAGACTGTAGTCCATCTGTTTCTCTGCATACTTTGTTAGCTCCCTTTCACTCTGTTTTTCAATGGTCAGGACCACCACAGAGCAGGTATTATTTGGGGGGTGGATCATTCACAGCACTGAAGTTAGTGACTGGTGTGTTAGTGTGTGTTGTGCTGATACGAGTGGATCAGACATAGTGGTGCTGCTGGAGTTTTTAAACACCTCAGTGTCACTGCTGGACTGAGAGTAGTCCACCTACCAAAAATATCCAGACAACAGGGTCCTGTGGGCAGTATCCTGTGACCACTGTTGGAGGATGATCAACTTAAACTGTGCAGCAACCGATGAGCTTTTATCTCTGACTTTACATCTACAAGGTGGACCAACAACATAGGCGTGTAATAGAGTGAACAGTGAATGGATACAGTGTTTAAGAACTCCAGCAGCACTGCTGTGTCTGATCCACTTGTACCAGAACAACACACACTAACACGCCACCACCTTGTCAGTGTCACTGCAGTGCTGAGAATGATCCACCACCCAAATAATACCTGCTCTGTGGTGGTCCTGTGGGGTACTTAATAAAGCATGTGGTTTGTATATATATATATATATATATATATATATATATATATATATATATATATATATATATACATGAAAACCGTGTGAGCCTTTGTTTCATAGTGTTTAAATATGTTTCATTAATTTAATTGCCAGACAACTATTTTATTGTCCTTCAATTTAAACTAACTGATATAAAACAACTTTTTAGTTCAGTAGTCTCACCAGTGGCAAAAAACATATATAATTATTAAATAATAAATAATAAATTAATGAATAATTTCTTGTGTCTTCCTAATATTTTCATGTGACAATGCTACTGTTTTACCTCAGAGCAAAGCTAGTTCTTCATCTAAGAACTCACAGACATTGGATCCTCTTTATATATTTTACCATTTTAATTAGATTTTGCAGAACACATTTATTAGCACAAATGTTGCCATCCAGGAGCCATGATGACTCATCATTTCAGTTGTTTTAAGAGGGCAAAGTGTATAAGTCTGATACAGACCACTTTGCTCATATATAGAAGCCTTTTTAGGAAGGGTATTCAGGACTACTCATCTGCACAGCATAACCTCAGCCAATATGGTTATGGTTATGCTGAGAAAACATTAGAGCATGTTTTACTTTGGTTTATCCATGTAGTGTGTAGTGACGGCTGTCAAGAAGGCTGGAAATGTTGTAGCTGTTGCTACCTTCACTCAGCTCTGGCAGTGCTGTACAGCATGCGCAAAATGATGAATAAAACATGCAAAACATGATGCTGATCTATTTAATATTAATTGGAGATAGGTTGCTGTTTACATCGTTTTTAACAAAAATATTGTGGTTAACCAGTACTAAAGTTTTCAATGAATGTTTCATTTCCATAACAGTTAAGGATCATTATCTTTTTGTTTTTTTTATTTGCAGTTTTAGAGTAGCAAGAGAGAACAGTTCACCAACTTCAAGATTTAAGATTTATTACTATTATTATTAATTAGGAGTTATTACTAATATATCAGTTGGTTGTGTCAGTTTTCATCATTACATGCTTTGGATTGGTTACCACAATGTAATTTCACGATGTGATACATGCCATCATTTTTGCACCACAATACGATATATTTTCAATACAGAATTAGATAAAAAATCCTAATTTTAACATTTATTTATTTATTCATTTATTTAGGTAATCGCCAAAACATTTTTTTATAATTTCCACTGACAACAGTGCTGGCTAAGTCATTTTCTTAGAAGACATAAAATAAATGACAAAGAACTTATGCAAAAGTGAAATATCCATATAAAAGTAAACTAAACTATAAGGCTACATATTAAATGAACTGAGCATTACAAGTTCATTTACAGTCTGATCTTGTGTTTGTATATAAATTGTGGTTCTGACTTCAGGCTAAAATGGCTCAGTCAGTCAAATTGGTAGCTAATAACATCCCTATTAATAACATCCCTATGGAGTGAGTTATTTGTTTTGCTTGTTACGAATTGGCACTTAGCCATTCCTTGAATCCTGTGGGGAGAAGTAGCTGCTGTGAAAGCATTCCCATTATCACAAATTTTATAGCATGAAATCTAACTGTATTTGGTTTACAACGCGCCCCATATTGAAAAAAAAAAAATTTTAACATGCATATTGTGACTGACACCCCTCGTTACCACAGACAAGTATAACTTGTTTTAGCATCCTACAATTTTGTAGCATAACCACTGTGGAGTATGATACAAATGCCATCCTCGAAAACCAAGCTTAATTTCATGTGGGCCAAAACCCAAAAAGAAAATCGCAAGCATAATTAAGTGCTTTGCAAGTTGATTTAATTGTGCTCCACCAGAGTTCATTTGTAAATGATTCCAAGAGGATGGGAACAAGCTAAGATTTAAATCAAAGGAGACTTAAAAGAAAAGTGATTTGTGAACATTATCATTTAGGAGAAAGGTACAATATAAATAGAAGAAAAGATACAGGACAGCCCCAGTTTAAACATAAATGTAGGCCATGTTGGTTGTGTGTGTGTGTGTGTGTGTGTTATCCTTAACCTGATTAAACATCTGTGCTAGTTTTCTTTCTCTTTCCACATGGAATAGCCTCCTGGTGAAAGTGTCTGATGTATTAAGGATAAGCGCTACATTTATGACAGAGAGAGAGGGAGAGATGTTTTAGAATTTTGAGAAGTTTGAACAAATTTGGTCTTCATGAACTGCTAACACTATTGTTGCAGATGTTGCAGTTTGTTATATTGCAGGTTTTATTGAGTCACTGTATTGTGCCTTATTCAAAAAGCAGTGTGGGACTTCCACAAATATTGGCACCCCTGGTAGACATGAGCGAAATGGGCTGTATAAAACATTCTTTATTGCTTATCCTTTTGAGAAAAAAATAAATCTTATCATAAAATAAATATTTGTCTTAAATCTGTGAGCCAAAATAGTTGGCAACTATACAAATTCTTACAAGTAAAATCCAACTACAGTATATTCCCATTCATAGTTTATGTTTTAAAGTTCACCTGAGTGATTAGGAACACTTAAACAGTCAGCCGTGACTTCCTGTTTCACTGGGGTATAAATATGAGGTGACACACAGATTCCCTTAGACATTCATCACTATAAGAAGGACCAGAGAATATAACAGTGATGTACAACAAAATGTTGTTGGGCTGCGCAAATCAGGAAATGGCTTCAAGAAAATAGCTAAACAGTTAAAAATGTCCATTTTCCATGACCAGGGCATTAATCAAGGAATGTAATGCAACTGGAGAATGTAAGAATTTGCCAGGAAGAGAACAGTTCTAGTAGCCAAAGAATTGCCAAGGATCACAACAGATTCAAACTGTAGAATTTCAGACATTAGTTAGGTCTTGGGCTCAGAACATCTCCCAAACTACCATCAGGGGCCACCTACATAAGCATAAGTTGATGGGAAGTTGCCAGAAGAAAGCCTCTGCACTCAAGGACCAACAAACTCAAGTTCCTACAGTTTGCCAGAAATTTGTTTTTGAAGCTTGTTTTTGCAGCATGAGCTGCTACTAATATTGCCTGACAAGCAATAAGATAATAACAAAGATATGTGTGTAATTGTGGCACATGGATTGTGGAATGTATTTTTAACATTAGCAACCTGAGTGGTTCCATTCAAACCGACATAAAGAAACAGATAAAAATTAAGGTTGTTATTGTTTGATTGTGATACACAGAGGTTAATTGTCTCTATTTTAATTTTTTTTTTTTTTTAATTTTTATGCTGGCAAATGTTAATCATGCATGCTCATCAGAATATTAGGACCACACCCACACAGTTCCCAGACACGTCTGATAAGCAATTTTTAAGGCAAGTTTTATCATATTTCTATCTTGATTTTGCATTCAACCTTTGCTGGACATCATGCAAACATTTTTAATATTGGAACTTTAAAGGACAACAAATTACTTAACTCCCATTGTTTTGCATTTCTTTTTTAACAAGTATGTCCTGGCTGTGGGAAGTTCAGTGTTTCATGCCATGTTCTACGGAGAGCTAGCAGAGGATAAGGATGAAATCAGTATTCCAGATGTGGAGCCTGCAGCGTTCCTGGCCATGTTAAAGTAAGAGTCTGTCTCAGTATCTGTCTGTCAAGAGTTTGCTAGCTGACTCCCCAAGATCTCCTTTTAAACTCTTTCTTATGTACTGTGCAAATGACTGAGCTGTGATTGTTTCTGGTGAGGAGCAAAAGTAGGAGTAACCTCTCTGTTTAAAGCACTCATCTTTCACAGTCTGAAAGATGTACAGTAGGTAAAGTGCAAATAACAAAAAAAAACAGTGATTTGAAAATCCACTTTGACCTATTTTTCATACTTGAATGAAAGCAGTGCAAAGACTTTATCAACTTTTCAACTTTTTTTGTTATACGCTCATTCTGAAATTGATGCCTGCAACACATTCCAAAAAAGCTGGGATAGAGGCAAGACAAGACTAGGAACAGTGTTAAATGTTCAGAAAACATTTTCAAAGAGTAATGGGTAGAAAAAGAGCATGTAGGAAAGGCCTAATCCTTTATGAGCAAGGATGGGTTGATGTTCACCATTTTGCCAAAAATGTATCAGCAAATAGCCAAACCGTTTAAGAACAGTGTTCCTCGACAAGGCTTTTAGGTATTTCATCCTTTGTGGTGTATAATATTATCGAAAGATTTAGCGAATCCAGAAAATTGTGTTTAAAATGCAAGACAGCACTGCATTTAATGCCCACATGCTTCTGTGATGGGTGTGAGCACATGGGCTCAGGAACACTATGACAAACCACTGTCAAAAAACACAGTTCATCGCTGCTTCTACAAATGCAAGTTAAGACTGTACAAAGCCCAGTGGAAGTACAGTGGCTGACAATTTACAGTACAATTAAAAACAGGTTGCAAACTCATAAACATGGTGCAAAGACAAAAAACATTTTTATCAAAATGACTACACCTGAACTGCATTTCACAAATGTGCTGCAAATACAGAAAACACTTTCATCAGAATGACTACATCAGAGCTACATTTTACAAACACACTGCAATTATAGTAAATACAGGCAACTTCAGAAATGCTGCAAGACCAGTCACAACACAACTGAAGTAAGCCACAACACAACAGAAATGTTTCAGGAAGACTCAAAGACAACAGAATATCTATGATGGAAAATCACTGACAGAAGTAGATAAGACCAAGGACACTCATTCCTAAGTTCATGGTTAGCCTGGCTGGCTAGTTTGCTATCTGACTGACATGTCATAGCTGTACCATGGTAATTATCTGGTATTACTAGTAACTTTTACAGCTACACTCTACAGCTAATTCTCATTACAATACACTGATAGTAGTAATCTGTTCAAATAAAAGTTAACTTACTTTTACTGGTGAATGTTTATGCTGTTGTTTAGAATTTAAAGGTCTGAATGGCTCCATCCTCTTTGAGTGTCATCCGGACAAAACCCCTCTGTTGTGTTGTGACTGTCTTATCAGCGTTTTTGAAGTTGCATGTGTTTTCTGTAATTGCAGCGCATTTGTGAAATGTAGCACCAGTGTCATCTTTGTGACGAAAGCATTTTCTGAGTTTGCAGCTTCTTTTTTAATTGCAGTTTGTTGGGTCTTTTTAGCCACCATATAGAAGCCATATGTTAGCAACATCCACAAATGTGTCTGACTTCTCAGGGCTAAAGCATATATAAAAGGATGTACTGATGCATAGACCTTCCAGATTGTTGCCAGCATAAAATTCAATTAATGGGTAACTTGCCCATCTGTAAAAGCACCATTAACACTTAATGATATGAACACATTTTGAGGGAACATGTTCTTCCTTTTAGATGCCATCTTCTTCAGAGATGTCAGTGCCAAGTGACTGCACGTTACAACAGCATGCAGCAAAGTGACTTGGTGTCTTCAATTTCCACATGATTATTAAGTGCTGTTAAAAGGAAAGGTGATGCAACACAGTGGTAAACATGCTTATGTCCCAACTTTTTTGAAACATCAAATATTGTGTTCTTCTACTGTTTTCAATTTAATACAGGTCAAACAGAGTTTACTACTCACTGCTTTCTTTTTTATTGGCATTTCACATACTGTCACAGATTTTTTGAAAATGTTTGTGCCTAATTGGACAATTAATGTCATACCTGATTCCTTCATGAGTCAGATCTAGTGAGTTGGGGCAGGAAAAGTTTAGACCAAAGTGCAGTGCAGTGGGTTCCCAGGAATGGTGCTGAGAAGCTGTTCTGTAACATAGTAGATTGGTATTCACAGTCTGGAGCTGAATACCTCTGGCTTAGGATTTCTATAATGTGTTTAATAACTTCTTCTCTCAAGGCTGTGAATCGTGGCAGTGTTTTACGGAATTTAAGCTTGTGCTTTTTTCTCACCCTCTCTGTGTCTCCTCTCTCACTTAGCTCCTTCTTCTATCCATTTCTTAGCCTGCCTGTGAATGTGTAGGTGGAATATGTTACTGTTCTCTTTCTCCTGAACTGAGCAACATCTCAGATAATGTATACAAACTCAGTGTGTTATGGTGACTATAAGCATAAAGGAGATACTGAGACAAACAGGCTGATCCTTTCCCCCATGCTTTGTCTTCACAGTTCATAGTAATATGTTTAATATGACTATGTTATACAGAAAGTTCTGTCAGAATTATGTAAAAATTAAAAAGGCAAACAAAAGGCTTTTTCACTTCACTTTCCAGATAGCACGCTGTGATTGAAACAGTTGATTTGATGTTCAGTGTAGATCTCTGATGTTGAACTTGCATTGATCTTGCTAGTGGTATTGGCTATTGATAAAATGCTGGAAAATCAGCTATGTTGAACATTGATCCAACAGCACTTGTTGATGGCCGAACAGCTCTTGATCTAATGTCAGTACTGATGTTGACTTAATGTTGAAAAAGGGAGGTTGCATTATCCACTGTGTAATCTTTTTCATGTGCCTTGACCAGGATATATGCTATTGTGTTGTCATCACAAGTTTGTAGAATTTGTCTCATATGTGAGGATGGTGCAGTGGGTAATGCAAGATGCCCACCATACCAAACACTGGAGGTTCAGCCCCCATCCAGGCAGGAGTGCCATGTGAGAATAAAAGTCAATGGGTAAGTCTCTAAATGGTGCACTTGCCAACCACTGTAAGTTGCTTTGGACTAGAGTGTCTGCTAAATGCTTAAAAACGTAAGTAAGATGTGTCAAATTTTGTAAATGCTGAACTGAATTTACTACACTCTTTAAAAAGATGGTTCTTCTAGGGTTTTTTAGTGATGACAATGGTTCTAAAAGGTTCTATATAGAACCATATCCATTCTCCATCAATCTGAAGAGTGATTTCACAATGCAAAGAACCCTTTAAGCATGCAAACGGTTCTTGTGTTCATGGTTCTATATAGAATCATTTGTTTTTCCTAAAGAACTTCTGAAGAACCATCATTTTAAGAGTGTATGCTGACATTAGATCAACAGCTATTCAAACATCAGTGAGTTCTGTTGAATCATCTACAATTTTCAACATGGTTGATTTTCCAATGCTGGATCACTAACCATTACAGCATCATTGATGTTGCCCAACATCAAATCAACATTATTGCACTTAAATCAAATCCTCATAGGGCCTGTTGCATTTCTAAGAAACATTTATTATGTCTTCCTCAGATACATATACTGCGATGAGATTGACCTAAGTGCTGATACTGTGTTGGCGACGTTATATGTAGCGAAGAAATACATCATTCCACACTTAGCACGGGCCTGCGTCAACTTCTTGGAGACAAGTTTAAGTGCTAAGAATGCTTGCATTCTGCTGTCTCAGAGCTGCCTTTTCGAGGAACCGGAGCTTACACAGCGCTGCTGGGAAGTGATTGACACCCAGGCTGAATTGGCCCTTAAATCTGATGGCTTCTGTGACATTGACCCCAAGACTTTGGAGAGTATCCTGCGGCGAGAGACACTGAATGCCAAGGAGATTGTGGTGTTTGAGGCAGCCCTGAAATGGGCAGAGGCTGAGTGTCAGCGAAGAGATTTGGCCGTTTCCATTGGTAACAAGCGCAAAGTTCTTGGCCAGGCTGTGTACCTGATTCGCATTCCCACCATGGCCCTGGATGACTTTGCTAATGGTGCAGCTCAGTCAGGCGTGCTGACACTAAATGAGACGAATGATATATTCTTGTGGTACACAGCAGCTAAGAAGCCAGATCTGCAGTTTGTCAGCAAGCCGCGCAGAGGACTGACCCCACAGAAGTGTCACCGCTTCCAGTCCTGTGCTTATCGGAGCAACCAATGGCGTTACCGTGGACGCTGCGACAGTATTCAGTTTGCTGTTGACAAGCGAGTATTTATTGCTGGTTTTGGGCTCTACGGTTCAAGCTGTGGCTCTGCAGAGTATAGTGCCAAAATTGAGCTGAAGCGCCAGGGAGTAATATTGGGCCAGAACCTCAGTAAGTATTTCTCTGATGGTTCCAGCAACACTTTCCCTGTGTGGTTTGAACATCCAGTACAAATAGAACCTGACACTTTCTATACAGCCAGCGTGGTTCTGGATGGGAATGAGCTCAGCTATTTTGGGCAGGAAGGAATGACTGAGGTACAGTGCGGCAAGGTGACCTTCCAGTTCCAGTGCTCCTCAGACAGTACCAATGGCACAGGTGTACAGGGTGGTCAGATCCCAGAGCTCATATTTTATGCTTAAGGTTCCTCAAAGAAGACAAGAAAATGCTCTCATTGACAAAAGAAAGTTATCTTTTATAAGGTAACTGTTCTTGTATATCCTGTGTTGATATGTAAATGTTTTGACTGTGAAAATGTGGACTTCAAGGCAAAAAAGAACAAGACAGTGGTATACACATACAGTGTATATTTAAATATGTAAAGTAAATTTAATTGCCGCGTGTTGCAGCGTTTGCTTGCACAGGCCACATGTACATGGTAGCAATACATACAATATTCAAGTCAAAGGTAATTGTGTGAATCTAATCATTTCCGCTATTCATTAGAGGGTAAGGACACAGTTACAATACCTTACACCAAAGTAATATTGCAACTACAGTGTGATTAAACAGGGGTGGAAAAAAGTACAGAGAAATTGTACTTAAATATAAGTATGAAAGTATTACTCAATTAAAAGTGGAGTTTTGGAGCCAAAAATATACTTAATTGAGAGTAAATTATTACCATTCAAACCTATTAAAGTAAATAAAACTATGTATTAACAGATAAATTATTAAGTTATCTTTGTTCAGTTGTGTGTGATGCAGTTGGGTGGCTAATTAGCAGTACTGATCCTCACATAAAGACAAATTAGCATAGTTGTGGGCATTTTCATTCTACACTGATATGAATTTGCTCGGATTTTTGGTTGTTTTGAATTAAAAAAGCACTAAATTCAAATGCATGTGAACTCAACTGACCAAGTACTTTGAAGGTCTAAGAGACTTACATCAAGTAAGAAATAATGTGTAATAAGTGTGTTTTATCTCTTTGAAGTGTAACTGAGTCAAGTACAAGAAATCAATAATTAGAAATCAATAATACTAGTACAGTACAAATATCCAAAATGATACAATTACTCAAATATTTTTCACCCCTGCTGTTCAGTAGGTAGGGGTTATATTTTAATTTCTCTATCCTCAGAATTTAACCCAATTCATCACTTAATCATTCTTACATTTTATCTATCTGTTATTTGGCTTTGGGAATTTATGATTTTTCTAAGTAATAATTCAGGATAGAGGGCTGGGAAAAAACTTTTAAGGGTTGCTTTTGTTTGGGGATATGAGGGGTGTTCTGGAAGTATGTTTTATGTATAAATGTATGCATCTACATACATGCATACAAAATACACAAATTACACACAAAAAAAAACAGAAAACAATCACTTATATATATTGTATTAACTTTTCAGCAAACAAAAAAAATCAACAACCACTTCGTATTAGCTAGGAAATACTAGAGTATTAAACACCCCAACACTGCAGCAAACATCTATGGAGACAGGGTGGTGCAGTAAGCACCCTTTAAGCAGTGTCTTGGTCTTTACCTTTTTAATTTTATAGAATCAAGCATTCATCTGTTTGAATTTGACTTGTTACCAGTAACACGGCAGGCTCTTAGAGTTATCAATTAGTCTACCATTGAGAAGCTTTACTGTGTTCAAGATACACATAAGGCTTAGTGGTGTTACCTGGAAAAGAAAAAAAACCTTCACATTTATGTTTGTCTCACAATTTAAATAACAGATTTAATTGATTACAATTTAACAACAATATTTTATGCTAATAATAACTTTGTCATAACTTGGAACATATCAGTTTGTACAAAGCTTAACTCTGGGACTTGTCTCTGGAATTGTGTAAGTTTTGATTACAAACTGCACATCCTTTTCACGTAGGCCACGTATTTTGAAATGTATTTTGGTCCATGTGCACTACCTGATAAAAGATGAGGGATCTTCTCAGTATGTGAATGACCTATGTTTTGCACGCATACATTGCAAAAGCCTATGAATGTGAATGAGAGCTGAATTTGCAAACAAATGAGTGGTTATCACTATACAGTTGAAGTCTCCTTACATATACCACAATTGAAAGATGAAACTTCAACAGTTTATACAATATACATGCCAACAGACACTCACTGTCCACTTCATTAAGTACACTTCTCTTGTATCTACACTCGCTGTCAAAGTTCTACTGTCTGTACAGGTGCACTTCATAGTTTTATAGTTACAGATTGTAGTCTATCTGTTAACATTTTTTTGGTAAAATGAGTGGTTAATTTTGCAATTCCAGTGGATTCATTTGATTCCATTCTGTTCATTTTTTTTTAATTCTGACATGTATCTACCACACGTCATGAATAAATCCATGAGGGCAGATTTAACTAAATACTGGTCTAAATTACAATAATAGCTAAGTTAGTCATAGTAAGAGGTCAATTTGTGAAAAAGTGGATGGTGGATTCAAATGATTCAGTGAGAGAGTCTTGATTGATCAGTTATGAACTGTAGCTAAACTTACTTTTAAGCACAAGAAAAGTCTTCCCAGATCTCAAACATTCACTACTGTATTGTACAATACAGTTCTCATTCTGTGTTCTTCTAGATTTTGGTCTCCTTTTTAATGCCATTGTATTGAGTTATCAATTCCAATTGACTATAAACAATAAAGTCTCTTAAAGTGACTACTCCAAAATGGAGAGAAAAAGGGAAGGCAGTTTTACAATGTGGATTGACTTTTGATTGAATGTTCAGCCACCCATATAGGACCAGATCAGTGGTGGTCCTATATTATGGGTGGAAGTAACAAAATAAATCATAGTCACATGGGGGTCCTGACTTTGAAAAAGGGGGGCTAGTATGCAGGAAAACAGATGGACCACAGTCTGTAATTGTACAATTACAAAGTGCACCTATATGGAAAGATCTACAAGAGTAGATACAAAGCCTAATAAATTGGAAGTGAATGTGTGTATCTTAGCTAAGGACAAAGGCCCTGAAAGAAATGATTGCTGTCTTCCTTGTGTTTCCTGAGAAGACATAGAAATAAAATCTATTTTTTTAAAAAGAAAAGCAGTGAAAGGTAAAGTTATGTGTTGTTTAAAATTTAGGAGGAAAAATTTGTGGTCAGTGTGCCTGGCACTTTATAGTATATATATATATATATATATATATATATATATATATATATATATATTAGGGGTGGGAATCTCTAGGCACCTCACGATTCGATTCGATTACGATTCAGAGGGCTGCGATGCCATTATAAAACGATTATCGATGCATCTCGATGCATCTTTTTTTTCTATACATCATTTCTATTTTCTCACTGTGTGAGGACTTAGTAGTTTTAAAGCAAAGTATTTGTAATGATCCATAATGAATTTCCTTCCAATATCTTTTATTAATAAATCAAATGGAAGTAATGTGGCAAGTGAACTGGAATGCTCTCATTCACTGCCTTTGGAGCACATGAGACGCTGCTGCCACTCATCTGCGATAAAATGCGCAGTTACGGTGAAATAAGATCCAGTGGCAGTAGATGTCCACACAGCGTGTTACAGCCATCCTACCTGTTTTTAGTGACTTTATAACTTTGGTTTTGGTCTCGTTGCAGAGAAAGGGGCGATCGCTGTGTCAGTAAAATATCTTCGAGACGTGACGTGTGCAACATTGCGCGAAAGCCCTGTTTCGCAATGAATGAGAATTGCCGTGCGGACTGCAGGTCACATAGCAACGATGCGTTATTTGTATTTATAAGCAGCACAGTTGGTTTCCTGGCAAGTTAAATCTGCAACGAGAGAGTCAAACAGTAAAAAGTTGCAAAGATGAAGTCGCTTCTCTTCCGAATTTTCTCGTTCCACCTTAAACAGTGCCGCATTTACATTCGGTGCCTCAGTCAGAATTTAAGGTGGAACGGGAAAATTTGAACAAGAAGCTGGAGAATGAGAAGCGACTTCAGCCTTGTAAGACAGCCGAATGTTGAGAGACATTTTACAAGAAACTGCTCTCGTTTTCTGGCGGAAATGGGAGGAAAGCGGCTGTAGGCGAAGCTTAAAGCAGAGCAAAGTAGATCTGCGCTCTCGTTTATATTGTTTAGCCTATACTAGGACATTATCCCATACTGAGACATACTGGACATTAAATGTTGTGGTTCCCAAGGTGGTTTGATTCTTGTTGAAAGGACAAAATGGTTCTTCTTAACATTTGGGTTGTGACTCCTGATCAAACCTGGCTTTTAATGCAGAGGCTGCCGGTCGGATTTCTCACTCATCCAGTAGTGTTTTTGTTGTGTGCCGTCACAGACCGTCCAGGCGCTGCACTTACCCACTTAAATATTTAGAAAATCGATTTTTAACATTTGTGAATCGATTCAGAATCGTTCACATCCGCATCGCGATGCATCTAAGAATCGATTTTTTCCCGCACCCCTAATATATATATATATATATATATATATATATATATATATATATATATATATATATGTAGTATATTTGGTGAAGTGTTATGAATTAATGTTTAGTAATGCTGAAGGAACTAGGGCACTCAAAACAACAAGTCAGTTTGACAAACACACTGAGCGGGACGTCTTTGATCATTTCCACTAGTAGTAGGACCTACTGTTTCTGTACAGTTTTCATTATTCCACAGTTAATGTGTTTGTGCTCCATGGTTGATGAGGAAATAAAGAGCAGTGCAGGAGTCACCACACCTTATTCTTTATACAAAAATGGATTGTCTTCAACAGAATATATTAAGACCCAAAATACAGCTCTATGACCTGGTAATACAATAGATAGATAGATAATACAGAGGGAACCTAAAGGGTTATATTTTTGAAATGATGAGCGGAAAATTGGGCAATCTGGATTTTGTCTGTGGTATGTAGGTAAGTATTGCTAAGCGAGCTCTCCTATTGGTTATGACTTCAAGAAATGAAGACTCCTAACACGTTAAATAAACTATCAGCATAATTACAAAGTAACAAAAGAATCAACCAATCACAATTTAAAGTTTTGTGTGGGACCAATTTCATAAGAAGAAAACTTCATTCTAGGCCTTCTGGAAGTTCTAGAAGCATCACTGACTGTGAATATGAGGGGCAGCTTAATCAGTGGGCTGAAGGAAAACAGCAATGGCAGCTCTATACTAAAGCTACTACTGAGTCACAGTAAAACTGCTACAAGGTGAGTCACAGATACAAGGTATCTTAGCTGTATGCTAATGTGCTTTAAGTAAAACATGGAAGCTTCAAATGTCTGGGTTTAATCTAGAACTGCCTTTTTCAAAATTCCTTTCCAAAGCAGTTACGTTCTGGTGCCAGCAAATTTTCCATTCCGCCTTAAATGATGCAGCAGTTACATTCTGTTGCCAACAAATATTAAATTCCACCTTAAATGCTGCAGCAGTTAC